AGGTGGGAAAGGCCGTTTTCGTCCTCCCCAGGCTCCTAGAAAGCCTCTGGAGCCTGGGAAGAGCAAAAAATGGGCCTACCGGGCCCATTGTGCCATCACATGCCAAAAGTGAGGCATGCATATGCAGGGGGGTGGGGCGCATTGAATTATGGGTATGGGCACGCACACGTGTGACCCCCCTGCACTCCCCCCGCTTTTGGCATGCGATAACAAAAAGGTTAGCCATCACTGCTGTATAGATAAGAAGGGCATGAGAAAGACATTTCCTAGGGATGGGTAACAAACTTTTGTCTCTGATTGGCTACATGAATGTATAAGATGATCACCACACTCTTCCCAGGTGTAGCCCTTCCTTGCATGCTTGATGCCTGTATGCTGTGGAACTGTCCACCCAGCTATTTTCTTTGGCCAAAATAAAAGCTTTTACTTTTTCCAAGCCTCTGCTTAAGTCTCCTTTTGATCACTTGATGACGTGAGTACATTTTGGACCTTACATTTTAAAACTTAAGTTCACATCTTGGATGGAGTTTTGTCTCATTTGGTCTGTGGCTGGAGATGTCAGACCAATGTGCTATGCAGCTTTAATTTTTGACTGTCTAAAAGGAAAGCAAGCATTATCCTGCACCGAGCATAGCCTAATTCTTTTTGGAAAGCAGTATAACCCTAATGAAACTTATTTGTATTGTTCTTGTGTGCAAAACTAGATTTATAGATAGCCAACAAAGTTCAATAATACTCATGCCTAAATCTGAACTGGGAAACTCTGCCTGAACATTTTAGCTGGTGATTGAATTTTAAATTAATTTAAATTAATTTAAATTAATTTTCTATAAAAGTGTGGATATTTCTTCACAGCTCTTGGTATTATTAGACTGAACTTTTGTGTAATTATTTTTATATGAACTTCCTGAAGGTTTCCTTTTTTCATTAGGTTCATAGGCCATCCATATTGCTTCTAATATGTTATCAGGTCTCATCTGATTTAAGGGTTCAGTAACTAGATGGTTCTTTTTATTGTCATCGTATTCATACTTTTTAGATAGTATTATATTGGCCTTGTTCTTCTCTAAGAATCTATCAGGATTGGGGCAGGTGACTAATATTGTCAAATAAATAAATATAAGAGAGGCTGTCACTAAAGATTTCACTAATTCTTCTATGAAAGATCTCAGTGCATTCCTAGAGTTCAAGGATATCAGAATTGTCATTACTATCTGTCTTCATATTTCAGGGGTGAAATTCAAAATTTTTCCCTACTGGTTCTGTTGGTGTGGCTTGGTGGGCATGGCAGGGGAAGGATATTGCAAAATCTCCATTCCCACCCCACTCTGGGGCCAGCCAGAGGTGGTATTTGTCAGTTCTCTGAACTACTCAAAATTTCCGCTACCGGTTCTCCAGAACTTGTTAGAACCTGCTGGATTTCACCCCTGCTTCATACCAAATTCTGTTTTAGAAAAATAAAGTTTTTTTTTATTAAGATTAGCCAAGATTTTATTTCACTTATTTTAAAAAACATATTTTGCCAGTGTGAAAAATGACATCATAATTTCTTTTGTTAATATGTTTATTTCTCAGATTTTGTGACTTCTTTCAGTTTGTCAAGCAATTTAAAAAGCAATTTAAGCTTTACATGACAGCTCCTGCCCGAGCTTGCAGCATAGAGGCGACACTAAGAAACTTGTAAAGTTTCAGATGAATATTGGGTGGGTGGGTGAGAGAAATTTGCTTTCCTTTCTTCCAAGCTATACATGTTTTTGTTTTGGGTTATTTTTTTTTTTATCATCTTACTATCGTTGTGAAAATGATATTGTTACAGATATATCTATTGGCATGTATCTGTACTTCAAAGGGATAGATGGAGATTGATGTGGAATTAAAAACAGATGAAGCCTCTTCTTTCAATGCTCCCCTTTGTTGACATGGCACATAAAATGACATGAGGTGGCACAGGACAAAATGAGTGAAAGAAAGATATGAGGAAACATAGAGGAAGAAACTGAAACTTAAATAGGTAGATTTTTGAAGTGAACAATCACACACCCACCCTGGTGGCATTATACATAACTGCATGTTTTTAATATAGAAGGGAGAGAAAGCTTATAAACGTCACTGAAGTGTAAAAGAATTCTTCAGCAATTCTTTAACGTCTCTCCCCCAGAGTAGTCATTGGAGACCCACAACAATCACAACATTACATGCTTCCTTTTTGTTCATAATTCCAAATCTTGGTCCTTTCCAAAGATGGCATGTTTGAGGGGAGAAAGATCAGTTTTTGAAGGCACATTGGATGACCATATAGATGGCTCAGCCATTCAGAAGGAAGGAAGGAAGGAAGGAAGGAAAAATATATTTACATAACTCAGCAGTTTTTGCAATTATTTAGGGAAGGGGGATAATTACCCTCAGGGCATCTGCCACTAGGGCTATGAATTAAATGGACTGGAAGAAGAAAATATTTACTCCAAATTTCTTCCCCTTATTTTGGCAGGCTTCATGGTACTCTAAGCTTCCTATCGTTACTTTCTTTTTTGACAGCTCAGTCTACCACTCCTGAGTGCAGCGATACATTATCTGGGTCCATAAGAAATGGTAAATTGAAACAATGACAAGTTGGAACCCTCAGGCAGCTGGAAGAAAAGGAACAGGTATCTGTCAATGATGTTTAAAAGACATAAGTTCTACCTCTGGCACAAATTGCCAAATCCATGATATTTTTTATGACTAGCAAAAAGGTTGTCTCACCTGTGCCCATCACCTGAGGAATCAGTTAAAACAACTACTTTTGCTTCTGCTTTTGCCTGAAAAGAAGAACCATCCAAAGACTTGACTGAAAGCCTTTCTCAACTCTATTATTTATTTATTTGATTTGATTTGATTTATATGCCGCCCTATCTCCGTAAGACTCAGGGCGGCTCACAACAATAAAATATCTGAATAAAAGCGTGTTAAAATACATCTTAACCCCCCCAGTCCAGGCTGAACAACCATGTCTTTAAGTCGCGGCGGAAGGTGCAGAGGTTAGGGGCCAACCAGAGCCCCAGAGGAAGTTGGTTCCAGAGGGAGGGAGCACCCACAGAGAAAGCTCTGCCTCTAGGGGTCGCCAGTTGACACTGTCTAGCCAACGGCACCCTGAGTAAGCCCTCCTTGTGAGAACGCATCGGGCGATGGGGAACTGTTGCTGGTTGCAGATGGTCCGACAAATATCCTGGACCTAAACCATATAGGGCTTTATAGGTCATCACAAGCACCTTGAGTCTCACCTGGAGGGCAACCGGCAACCAATGCAAGTCGCCAATGCAACTCTAGCTTAGCCAAAAAGGAAAAAATGGAGAAACAGAGCTTTCCTTGAACTAAAATACATGCCTTTTCTCAGACATATTTGGAGTTTTCCTGCCTAAATATAATTCAAAGTTGCCAGTTTTGTTCAAATAAAGCTACTCGTGGTATTCAAGATTAAATGCATGCTGGAAATATTTATCGAAATGTTTTCGTTTTGCATTCCCTGAGAAACATTTTTGTTCTCATGATATTTTCAATACTCAAAAATATAGATGGATCTCTAATTATGACACATGTTTTCAGTTATCGGATGAAGTCGTGAAAGAGCTTCATTTTCAACTGAAAATATTAGTTTTATTAATTTTGGAGAGAACAGAGAAATGTAGTCCAATGGTAACCCCATTGGAGCAGCACACAGCTGGCAACTTCAATGAAGCAAGAACTGCATAGATTTCTGTAAATCATGCTAGCTTGGGATGGATATAGAATTTTGGACATGGCAAAGGAATTCCACAGCCTTATGTGTACGGAGTTTAATTATCATTGAATAATTTTACACTTGGACTAAGTTGCCATTTGGAAGATAAGGTATCAATTGGCTCTGTCTTCTCTCTTGACTGTTCATGTCTGCTTTCTCTCCCATTCCTTTCTCAGTCTTATCACTGTCCCTTACAAGAGCAACCTTCTTTCTCCTCCCCAGCAAGTTCCCTGGGAATTATTTTACATCAAGCATGACCCTTCCTTCCTTCCTTCCTTCCTTCCTTCCTTCCTTCCTTCCTTCCTTCCTTCCTTCCTTCCATAGTAATTTTGGGAAGGACAAGAACCACCATTCATGGACAATGATGCAAAGTGGATTGGATACTATCAAGGTACAGAGCTGGAAATTTTAAGCGAGGGAGAGGGAGATGTTTGGGTTTTGTGCTTACGTATTTCTCACAAAATGAAAATTTCCATAAAAGTGAAAAAAATGAAAGACAATAAGCTATTGAAAATGAAACATTTGGAGATCTTTGTAGTAGGGAGACATGTACAAAAAGAAGAACCGTTATTCAAAACCTGTCAGCCCTTCAAATTAGGCCAGGTCAGAAAGCAGATACCACAAAAAATAGTGGAACTCTACTTTATTAATTTAAGGCAAAATAACAGATTATTGAAAGCCTGTAAGTGTTTTGCCTTCCTTCCCTCTTATACCAAAGAAAATCAAGGTGGAGCAATTTTGAGTTTCTTTCTCCCACTATCTTGTTTTTCCAGACAAAGTTCATGTTGTCTTAATGGTTGCCATGTATTCTCTCCAAGGTCAACCCTGTGCTCCTCTATTAATCCACAACATATGTTATAAACTAATAAAAAACAGTTCTTATATAAAGTAAGACCATACTACTAGCTCATGATGCTTCCTTTTACCAGAAGGCATTTATATAATCCATCTTTAGCACTCAACTTAGCACATTTTGTTCATTTATGCAACCTGTCCAGAGAACATTGATTGGTTTTAAAATTTGCTCTGCTATTTTAAGGGCAACGTGAAATGGAAATTATCTTCAAAAAAATAATGTGAGGTGTTTGTGATACAAGAAAAGGAAGATAAGCATGTGATCTTGGTTTTCCACAAGAGTTCTTGGTTCTAAACTCTAGATTTATAACAGTAACAAGCTCAGTCGTTTTACCTTTCTTTTTCCTCTTTGTCCCAATATGGCAGCAAGCAAAGCTACATGACTTACCTCCCAATCAGTAGAAGCTCTCTAAATACTCCCATGCGTCTCATAGCCATGAGGATTCCCCTGACAGTCATCCCTTCGCAGAAACAAACCACAACTCTGGCCTTCGGCAACCTGTCCCGGAGCTTCTGTAAAAGCTTCTCAAAGCTTTTTTCTCCCGCATTGCTGTAGATCTTGTCTGAATGAGCAATACAAAGGCCTTCCTGGGCAGCCAGTTCCTTGAAAGCTTCCATGCCACTCTCTCCATAGTTTCCTAAACAAAAGGGAAAAATAAAGAAGAATATTTGTAGCTCAGGGTTGACCTGAAGGATCCTTGGTGCTCCCTGAGCTTGCTTGCTTTCTTGCAGACATTTCATTACCCAAACTAGGTAACATTATCAGTGCTAGTAAGGAGTGTAGTTTGCTGTGAGTTTATGTTTCTAGTGGCCTAGTCAGTGTTGGTGGGGGTGGTCTTAGAGATGCTTTGTTTGGTCTGTTTGCTGTTGGCTTCTTTGGCTGTTTCTTGATTGGGATATTGTTTACTTGATTGTTGATCTGATGCAGGGGTGGGTTCTACTTACCTTTACTACCAGTTTGCAACGGGATCGCGCGTGCGAAGCGAGTATGCACGCTTTGCTTCTGTGCATGTGCAGAAGCTTCTGCGCATGCGCAGATCACCGATGACGACATCTGGGGTAGTGGGCAGGGCCTTCCACTGGTTTTACTACCAGTTCTTGCGAACCGGACTGAACCGGGGGCAACCCACCACTGGTCTGATGTTAACCTTTGAGTTAATATATGCTGATTTGGGTGCTGATTACTGTGGAGAGGTGCTGGAGTCTTTTTGTTCTCTTTTGGGCTGGTTGATTGTCTCTTGCATAGTCTACAGATGTTGTTAATGTCTATGTGTCCATTGATGGCTGATTTGTCACAGTGCCAGGTATCTAGAAATTCCCTGGTGTTTTTGGACTCGGTTTGGTCTAGAATGGTCACATTTTCCCAATTGAAACTATGGTTAAATCTGTCTACGTGTTGTGAAATTAAAGAATTTTTATCATGTCTTCGGACCGCTAGTTGGTGTCCGTGGATGTGTTTTGCCAGTCGTCTACCTGTTTGTCCTATATATAGTGGCTGTTTGTAGAAACCTGGCAATTTCTAGAAGCCTGGCACTCTGACAAATCAGCCATCAATAGACATATAGAAATTAACAACATCTATAGACTATGCAAAAGAGACTATCACCCAGCCCTGAAAGGAACAAAATGACCCAAGCATCTCTCCACCAGCAATCAGCACCCAGATCAGCAAAGATTAGCTCCAAGGTTAACATCAGACCAACAATCAAATAAACAATACCCCAATCAAGAGACTGCCAAAGAGCCATTAGTAAACAGCCCAGCCACAGAATTGCTAATATCACCCTCACCAACACTGACAGGCAAGCCGCTTGAATATAAACTGACAACAGACTACACTCCTTACTAGCACTGATGATGTTACCTAGTTTGGGTAATGAAACGTCTGTAAGAAAACAAATAAGTTCAGGGACCCTTCAAAAGAGGAAAAGGTTGTCACTATTATTTCCAATGCACCTGAGAAGCATCAAAATGACCAAGGTGGTATCTGCTCTGCTCACTGCATACATCTTAGCTGATTAAAACAAATCTACCAAATAATTCACTCCTCTACGGTTTATTTAAGAATGGCTAAGACTCTGAACTTGTCGATTGAAAGGTCGGCAGTTCAGCGGTTCAAATCCCTAGTGCCGTGTAACGGGGTGAGCTCCCGTTACTTGTCCCAGCTTCTGCAAACCTAGCAATTTGAAAGCACGTAAAAAATGCAAGTAGAAAAATAGGGACCACTTTTAGTGTGCCTTTGGTGTTTAGTCATGCCGGCCACATGACCACGGAGACGTCTTCGGACAGCGCTGGCTCCTCAGCTTTGAAACGGAGATGAGCACCGCCCCATAGAGTCGGGAATGACTAGGACATATGTACGAGGGGAACCTTTACCTTTACCTATAGTTTATTTGAGACCTATGGGAGCAGCACTTTCTAATCTAAATCTTCTTGGCTAGACTATCAGTTTCCATCTTACATCTCAGATAGATCACAGAGGCTATATTGCTCCAATTATTTCACTACCACCATAAGAGCAATGGTTGGAAAGCAAAGAAGGCAAACAGGAGGAAAAGGGTCTCCCACCCAGTTAGCATTACTTTATTTTTACTTAGTCTGAGACTCTGTCATTTCCAGCCTAGTTGAAAGGAGAAGTTAGCCTTCCATTGTTAGCAGAGGCCCCTGAAAGCAAACATTTGGGGAAAGGGGATATGAAAGTTAACCAAAAAGCAAGGTTTTCACTTACGCTTGGGTCTTGTTAATTCTGTGGAGACAGAAATCAATTGGGCTGCCAGCTATTAGGGCACTAGGAGCACACAGTGAAGTATGAACAAAGGCTGTCAATATTCCAAGAGGCCCCATTCGTCTCTTTCTTTGTAATTGCTGTTGCAACAGAGCATTATTCGAAGTATTGCTCCACCTGGTTTAAAACTTGCAAGTTGCTCAGCTGTGCTTTTTAGCTTTTTTTTTTTTTTGGCAACCCTTCAGGCACCTTCAGAAGTCTTTGTTTTGGGAAATTGGCTCTCTCCCTGGTTTCTTTTGGTGTGAAATTAATAACAGCAAAAGCAATTTTTATGCTTTCTGTGGGGCTTTATAGAATGAGTGGTGTGGCTTTGAGTCATAAATTAAATGCAAAAGCAACAGTATAGTGATTTTTCCCTCTTTTTCTCCCAAGCATGGACTTGCTATATATTTAGAATTCTTTAGAGTAGAGTAGAGTAGAGTAGAGTAGAGTAGAGTAGTGTAGAGTAGAGTAGAGTAGAGTAGAGTAGAGTAGAATAGAATAGAATAGAATAGAATAGAATAGAATAGAATAGAATAGAATAGAATAGAATAGAATAGAATAGAATTCTTTATTGGCCAAGTGTTATTGGACACAAAAGGAATTTGTCTTGGTGCATACACTCTCGATGTACATAAAAGAAAAGATACATTCGTCAAGAATCATAAGGTACAACACCTACTGATAGTCATAGGGAACAAATAAGCAGTCAAATCATATTAGGAAACAGTGAGTATAAATCTTAAGGATTACCAGTGATAGGAACGATGAGAAGATTAATAGTAGTGCAGATTTAGTAACTAGTTTGACAGCGTTGAGGAAATTATTTGTTTAGAAGAGTGATGGCATTCGGGGAAAAACTGTTCTTGTGTGTAGTTGTTCTGGTGTGCAGTGCTCTATAGTGTCGTTTTGAGGGTAGGAGTTGAAACAGTTTATGTCCAGGATGTGAGAGGTCTGTAAATATTTTCACAGCCCTCTTTTTTGATTCATGCAATATACAGGTCCTCAGTGGAAGGCAGGTTGGTAGTAATTGCTTTTTCTGCAGTTCTTTTTATATTTGTAGGTAAGTTAAGAACACACAAGAGAAGAAAGTGATACCACATAGAAAGTATCCTTCCCTGAAATACACAGAATCTTTGCAATTTATCAGAAGAGTTTTTGCATTCCTAGCTGTAGTAACATGGTTCGTCAGGTTTCTGTACATGCTCACAGGTTATGGGATTCACTTAATGACTGCCATTATAAGGTTATAAAATTGGGCCTGATCACATGATGACTTGCTTAACAACCGCATTGCTTAGCAACCAAAATTCTGGTCCTTGTTATGGTTGAAGATTGCCTGTAAGCACCATGCAACGATGCTGTTGAACAAATGTAGATTTCCAGTGCTAACATACCTTTGATGATTTGCTAGGAAAAAGGCATTATCTTATTTTTGCCCAGCAACTAAGGCAGAGACTGGATTGGTTTGTACAATTAGTTTTGTCAGTATGAATGTTATTTATATCAATCCTTATGAGCACCATCTAGTGGGCAAAATATAACCATTAAGCAGAGTTTATTAATATTACTAGAGAAATACTTACAAGGTGAAAGATTTATATGACCTGAAGAGAAACCAGAGTATAACCTTATTATTATTGTTTGTTGTACAGTGACCCAAATATTTAGAATAAATTTCGCATGTTTATCCACCTACTGAGTCTTTCTCGAGGACCTGGCATAAGCAGATGTCAGGTGTCACCAATGTTTGATGGTGTTAAAGATATTGTCTCAGGATGGAAGCTGTTCCAAGTAAAACTGCCCTTTGCAACTGACTGATTTGTCAATTGATTGACAGTGAATTTGTCAGTGCTGATGGTGTTCAAGTGGTGCTTCCGATATTTTGGGATTGCACCCAAGGTACCTATTACTATTGCTATCAACTTTGCTTTCTTTTGCCACAGTCATTCTGCTTCTATTTGTGGGTCCAGTTTGGTTGAACATCTGCCATAGCTCCCATTCTTCTCAGAGCACACAAGTCCCACAACCACATCCAAGTAGTGCCTCACTGGTGGATTAATTTAATTGTGTCTCATTGCACAGTCAACCAGATGTTTAGACTTGATTTGGCATTTTAATCCACCTATCAAGTCATTATTATTATCTTTTTTATTCATTAAACATGAAACCCAGTCAACTGAACATTTAAAAATGTATCATAAATACCATTGACTGGTGCTAATGGTTGAAACGTGTTGCTGCCAAAGTGCTAGGTATCAACCAAGTATCTTCTTAAAATATACGATGTTCCGAGTAGCGCAGTTTTTTGCAGTTCTGCTGGTGTTATTGCAGAAAGCTGCAATTTCTTGATGTGTTTTGTAAAATTCTTGGACATGGTACCAAGTGCCCCACTGACAATGGGTATCACTGTTACATGTTTCATCCATAACCAGTTTCAATGGCCAGTTCACGATATTTCATGATTTTTTCCAGTTCTTTTTCTTCGACTCTGGCGTCTCCTGGTACAGCGATATCAATAAATTGTACACTTCGGCCCTCAACAACTGTGATATCTGGCATGTTGTGTTCCAAATGATGATCTGTCTGTATTTGAAAGTCCCACAAGATCTTCACCATCTCAATTTCAACAATTTTTTCCACCTTATGTTCCCATGATACAGGTAGGGCATATTTTTAACATAATGACCAGTGGGTTAATTTAGCAACTCGATCATGTCTAACTTTGTAATCAGTTTGCACGATTTTGCTGCACTCACATATTAAGTGCGAAACAGTTTCAACTTTGTCATTGCAATGTCAGAAGTCACTATCAAGTTGTCGTTATTATTATTATTATTATTATTATTATTATTATTATTATTATTTAACCCA